GGCATCACTTTCTTCCGCCTGGAAATGTACATTTGTTATTCCAGTTACGAACCAGAGCTAAGTGGATCGCGACTGCTAGAATCACAAACCAATGAAACATTTAGTTTACCTCCCCAGCCGTTCATAGCTTAACGTCTCCAGCTAGCATGTCAGGAAGAAACTCTCCACAATCAATCATTCCAGCCACACTTTGTAAGAAAGGATGCAAATTTTCTAAACCAGAACTTAAATCATTTTCCTCACTCCCTGTGACATATGCACCTCTTAAATGATAATATGCCTCAATAAGATACCTGTTTCATGTGAGCGATTCTGGATGCAGAGCTTTTGTGCTGATTTTGTAACTGTTATGGCTTATATCTAGATGTCCCCCCGAAGCTTCATACACGCAGAGGTGGGGCTTTGGAGAGGTGACCGGATCACGGGTATGTAGTATTGGATTACCTCACTGATTGGTTACACACTATTAAATTTGTTCTCTTTTTCCTTAATTGCTAGTACTTCTTGCCTGCTACACCTAGGACTCTTTCTCCTCTCTTGTTCCCTGTAACGATTCTTCTACAATCTAGGAAGGTAATGTCTGCCTCCGGGATACTATATGCGATCAAGTGGATAATTCAGACAACACAGGAAGACACTTTTATCTAAGAATGGCTTTTGCCTTGTTGTCTGTAACCTTATTTATAGACAATGCAAGTAAGAAGCTTTTCATGACTAGCATGATGGTGTACAAATGCTATTATGTTTACTCGTACTTATTATACATTGCTCCAGGGTGGATCATTGCTCTTTACACTGAGAATCATCTATTTGGTGGAAAACACTCATTTTAACTCAATAGTCATAGCCTCCAACTAAGGTGTGGCTACAATATCTTAAATCTCTGGTTCTAGGAGAAAATGATAGAAAACTCTATATAATCACTACTCCGATCAGGCTTGAATATCCTATGGCAATAAGATTTTTTGCTTACTTCTCAAATTCCTCCCAATAATATGAATGCCTCACAATAATATGTTCATATGACTAAATCATTTCTGCCAGAACAACACAGTACGATGAAGAGTTGTGTCAGAACATCATTTTTGTATAATAGGTATTAATTTCTACACTGCCTGTTTCTGAGAGGTTGCTGAAGGTGGACAGTAATACAGAGACATCCGGGTGTGTCCAGTAAATTAATGCCACCTCGTGACCTAATTACCTGTGACTGTGTCCCATCACCTTGACACTGTCATCCTGTGCACCAAGTCTACCACGCTGACCTAAGGAAGATACTTACAATATTCAAACCACAGCAGACATCCAACTAATGAGCATGTATACCTTATTCCTATACCAAATAATTTGTAACAAAGATGTACAAAATAGACTCAATACTCTATTGCAAAACCAGTGATGTGAAAGATACCGTATCATACCTGTACTATCATGAACAGATTACTTCTACTGACTCTTGTAACTACAAAAATAATGGTTGAGGGACTTGCTAAACACTGTTGGTTTTGGAGAGAAGACTCTTTTTGCACGCAAGATATTAATGAGGAAACATAGCGACTTCCACACCAGGAAGTGACAGTGTCACTTCTGGAGTGAGCCATGCTCCACCTTTCTCACCAGCCCATAACTAATTAGCACTCACACACCTTAAAATGCCTATCTTCAACTTTCCCTCTGGATTTCTGTCTCTTAGCACACACTTCCATCATAAGAACTTCCCTTTCCATGCTTGGCTTCATACTTTGGCATCACGCAATTTAATTCTCATCAACGTGACGAGTTCTGTGTCTCTTATCATCTCTATTATGCAAGTATCTCTCAAATCTTCCAAAAAGTTGCTGTAAATACCACAGGTCAAGTTTTCAGACAAAATTTCTATTTCTCTTTAATTTTGTGGAGCGGGGCACGGAGCCCAGGTCTTTCCATGTGCTGACACATTTCCTTAAGTCTGCATTTCTCCTCAAAGTACTCTCTCCTAAGTTACAAATAGAAAAAATAAAAAATATGTGACCACTTGCTTGTTTTTAATAGCAATTATTCCTATATAGCCCTAACAGTCTACCTATTCAATTCTGTTTCTTTGGCTCATCTTGATTATCAGTATGACTGGCTTGGGAAACGCTCAGAAAATTAGTAAATTTTCAGATGTATCAGTGAGGGCTCCAACTTTGTCAATGGATTTACCCATTAATGAGTTCTCAGCGTAACGGACTTAGTAAGAGAGGGGGCTGACTGGATGAAGCAAGCCACTAGGGACATGGTTTTGAAAGGTGCATTTTGTCTCATTACCTTTCTTCTGTGATTTTCTACCTCTCTGCTTCTTGGCTGCCATGAGGTGAGCAGCTTTCATCCACCACACCCTTCCGCCATGATGCTTCAGACTCAAAACGTATTCACAGCCATGGACTGAACCAACCGCAGACTAAAACCTTAGTAACTATGAGTGGAAATCAGCCTTTCCTTTTTTCTCTATGTTGACTTTTCTGGGTGTTTTATTACAGTGACAGAAAACTAAGAAGTCTCTATGGATTCTATAATATACTATAGGTACCTGTTCATATAACTCACAACTTTGTCTATTTTTCCATTGGCAGGTATTCCATTTGCTAATTTCATCCTTCATAACTATGATCAAAAGCTATTTAAAGACACCAGAGAAATAATCCACTTAGCCCAGTTTACTCACACAATTTTTTGGCTCAAACGTTAGCCTAAAATATTCTGGATCTTTTTTTTTTTTTTTTTTTTTAATTTTTTTTTCTTGTCTTTTTACTTTTTATTGGTACCAGAGATTGAACTCATGACTACCTGCTTATAAGGCAGGCTCTTATGCCGCTGAGCTAAACCCCCAGCCCCAATATTCTGGATCTTTCTACGTTACTTATAGTCCAAGCACAATCTCAAGGACTTAATAAATGCCACTATTTTTCTGTACCAGTTTGCCATACTGGGGATTAATGACCAGGGTGACACAGGACCCTTAGGCAGCAGATATTTTTCATGGAATTGCCTCAGAAGTACAGGACATGAGGTACAGGAAAAATTACTTGAATCAGAGCCTCATAGCGTCACGATTTCTTTAAATGTGTTCCCTGTCCATTCCCTGCATCATTACAGCAGCCAGTCTAGTGAGAGACACCTATGCAGTATAGAAAGGACAGTTGCATGACAGTAATCATCATACAGTTTTTCCACCTTGCTTGGGAACAAGCAAGATTCATTTATTAAGAGCTTGCTTTTCATATATATATTTTCTTTTTAAAAAAGATTAAGATAAAAGAGGACATAACAACACAGGTCAGAACAGAACAATTTAAGCAACATACTATTTCACCACAAGACAATCCGACATAACAGTAGCTACCATAGTGTCTCTTTCCTTGAAATATTTGAGTATACCTTCATATACTATGGTATCAAACATAAAAATATAGTGTAAAACCATTCAAGAGAATGAAAGTATTACATGGCATTCAGAACCAAATAGCCAACTAAATTAAAATCTAAATGGGTCAAATATCTGAATATTAAAACAGAAACACTAAATCGATTAGAAGACAAATTGGGTAGAAACCTTGAAGACATGGGGGTAGGTAGACAATTCATGAACAGGAATCAAACTGCATGGGAAATACTTCCCAGAATCAACAACTGAGATCGCCTCTTATTAAAAAGTCTCTGCACGTCAAAAGAAATCTCTAGCATAGTGAAAAGAAAACCTACAAACTGGGAAAGAATCTTAGTGAACTGTCCCTCAGACAAAGGACTTCTGTCTAAAACATATAAAGAATTTAAAAAATTCAGACCCTTAAAATTCAAAGATCCAATCCAAAAATGGGCATCTGAGATGAATGCACATATTTATTTTCAATTTGTGTTTCTTCATCTCAGAAGTGTGTATTCATCGCAGACACCCATTTTTGGATTGGGACTTTGAATGGGGGGGGTCCTCAATTATTTTAATTTTTATATGTTCTAGATAGAAGTGCATCTGAGGGACAGTTGGTTAAAATTTTTCCCCAACTCGTGGGTTTTCTTTTCACTCTTTGGTGATCCCTTTTGAGGTACGAAAACTTTTTAATAATATGAGATCCCAGTTGCTGATTCTTTGAAGTATTTCCTGTGGAATTTGGTTTTTGTGCATGAACTCTCCGAGAAATACAAAAGAAAACAACACTAAGATTTTTCTCATCCCAGAAAGAATGGCTATGATCAAAACAATCATCTTGTAACAAATGATGACAGAGCGGTGGGGAAAAAGGAACCCTTCTCCCTTGCTGGTGGGACTGTAGAGTTTTGCAAGCACTGTGGAAATCAGTGTGGAGATTCCTCAAAAATATAGGATTGAAGGTTTCTTTTGATTCAGCTATTTCTCTTCTAGGAATTTTCCCAGAAGAAATGAAAACATCACACCACAATGATATATGTGCACCCATGTTTATAGCACCACAATTAGTAACAGCTAAATCTTGGAAACAACCCAAATGTCTATCAGCTGAGGAATGGATAAAACAGATGTGGTATTACTATACAATGGAATATTACTTGATTATAAAGAAAGATAAACTCAAGGCTCTTATAGGTAAGTGGATGGGATGAGAAATCAGACCCATAAGTCTGAAATAAATCAGACTCAGATGGGTAAACATCATATTGTCTCCCTATTGGAAAAAACTAAAAGAGTAAGGTCCCAAAGGTACATCAGATAGTGTGGAAAGGAAAGAAACTGCTCACAAGGAAAGAACTGTGATGGGAGAAAGGAGAAAAGGAAAGGAAATACACACACACACAGCTAAGATAATCGTATACTCCTTCTGTTAGTTCATCAAAAGGGAACAGTGAGCACTTCTCCTTTTTCGATCAATCTTGCATGCCCGTGTCTGGTCATCTCAGCTACTATTTTGAAGATAACAATAGGCACTATAGCAACCATTGCTAATTTCCTGTCATATCGTTTTGAAAAGCCAAAGAGTATCCTGAGGAGAAAAGTGGACACCCACCTTCGTATGAACCTGGTGGCTTCCAGCGTCATCCTCTGAGTGAGGTTTTCAAAGGACACGGGCTGTTGCCTGATCTCATAGTTCCTCATCAGGAAGCAGTTAAAGGGCCGGAAATAGTGAAGGAAACACAGGAACGGGGAGACGATCAGGCCCACCAGGAGGAAGAGGGCAATGAAGACCCAAATGGGCACATGGATCAGCCTCAGGAAGTGCAGCACGGCCAGCGTGAACACAGTGACCCCTAGGATCTGCAGCGGGAAGAACACCAGCCACCAGTACGCTTCGGAGAAGACTGTGCCTGACCCGGGTTTGCAGTCCCGCAAGTTGGTCATAGGAAACCCATAGAAGTAATCGAAGCCATGGCGTAAAGGGTGGTGGCAAAAGTCAGTTGTGTTGTAACAGTTTATCCCAAGGTGCCACTTCCCTGAGGACACAGATGGATGAGACCTTTAGTTCCAGTAAATGCCCTGGATGGAAGGCAACCTTCTAAATCCACATCCCAGAAAACATGTTCTATCCAACTGTTTTATGATCCAGGTTTTCCACCCATAGCTCCCCGTAATATTTCACATTTTATCCCACAAACAGCAACTTATTAGCCACATAACGCTAGAAGAAAAGAAAACCAGCTTTGCAGTGCCCCAAAAGATAACCAAGAAAACCAAAGCAAGCAAAAACTTTAGTGTAAAATCACTTAGCCACTTTAATAGGCACAAAATTCTGTACAAACGCTCAAGTAGATTTTCTTTCTGTCTTTTTTATTTTCTTTTGGAGATATGTCCTTAGACAAATTATGACAAAATTTTCCAGTTTGGATCCCTCATGGCCCATGTGTTAAAGTTGTTTCTCAGCTTCTCACTGTTGGGAGGTGGGAGGGCCTAGTGACAGGAAGTGAGGTCACAGGAAGTGAGGTCACAGGAAGTGAGGGGGCAGAAAATGGACTTGAAAGGGATTGTGGGATCTAGCCTTTTCCTCTTGTTCTCTCCTCACCATGAAGTGAGAGATTTTACTTTACCATGCCCTCCCACCATGATAGACCACCACAGGATCAAGACCATGGGGCTAACCAACTATGCGCTGAAACTTCTGAAATTGTGAGCCAAATAAATCTTCTCTCTTATTAACCTGATTACTTCAAGTGTTTGGCACAGTGACAAAAATCTGAGTACATATCATTATACTTTCTAAAAGTAAAATGAAAATCTTTTATCGACAGCAAAGTGTGTACATTTGGAAGCTCTGTATAAGCATCTTGTTGTCTGTTTGTGTATGATTTATGTCATCTGTGTTCTGTTTAGCTTATCCATCCACCCATCCATCCATCCATCTATCCATGCTTCTTTCTGTCTCTGTATGTATGTGCATATAATTTAGTTCATCTATCTGTGATCTGTTTATCCTACCCATCTATCACCATAATCTCTCTTATCTATGATGATTATCTCATTATTGTCCTTCTGTAATTATTCCTTTGTCTAGCCATCATTCCATCTGTCTGCTATATATTCCTTTATCATTATCACATCTATGATTTCTCCATCAATCAAGTCATCCACCCACTTAAATGATCTGTGTATGTATGTATCCATCCAACCATCCATCCATCCATCCATCCATCCACCTACACAAGTGATTGAGTGATCTATCTATCTATCACATGTCTTGATCTCTCCATCCATCCATCCACTCAAATAATCAATGTATGTATCTACTTATGATTTCTCCATCCATCCATCCATCCATCCATCCATCCATCCATCCATATACCTACTAAAATGATCAGTCTATCTATCTATCTATCTATCTATCTATCTATTTACCTACCTATCACATTTGTCTTGATCTCTCCATCCATCCATCCATCCATCCATCCATTCATCCATCCATCCATCTATCTGTCCATATACCTACTCAAATGATCTATCTATCTATCTGTCTATCTAATCTATCATAACTATGATCTCTCCATCCATCCATCTACTCAAATGATAAATGTACGTATCTATTTATGATTTTTCCATGTATGCATTCACCTATCCATCTATTCATGCACCTACCCACCCAAATGATCTATTTATCTATCTTGTACTATCTGTCATCAATTTGTATCATTTATCCACCAATCATATTCATTGTTTCCTCAATCTATTGATCCATCATTCCATCTATTTTCTTATCTATTACCATCTCTCCACCTCGTTCTTACACACCCACTCACATGCACACACATATACGTACTACTATATAGCCAAATAGCCAGAGCATTTTGTCCTCACAGGAATGTGAAGTTTATCAGTGACAGCCCTCTGCAGTTGCCCAAAGCCTCTCCTATTTTCTCCGCTCCAACCTGTCCCATACCGATCAGTGCTGTTGAGTAGCCCTGTTTCTTCAGAAGTCTGGCAAACGTCACCTCACTGGTGGGAAGTCCTCCAGAAGAAGCAGTGAACAGGTAAACTCCCATCCGGCTGTGAGAGGCCATTCCTAAAGCAAGAAAATGCACCTTTAAGAACCAGCAGAACCTTGGCCCTGGAGGAGGACAAGAGCCAGCCACACACAGAAGGTTACCTAAGCGGATGGGGTAGCGGCCTGTCATGAAGGCTGCCCGGCTGGGTGTGCACAGGGGTGACGCGGCCAGGTGCTGTGTGAGTTTCACTCCCCCGCCAGCCAGCCTGTCAATGTTGGGGGTCCTGGAATGAGAGAACCATCTCCTTTAGGATGACCATCAGCCCAAGTGGTTGTTCAGAGACACAACTAAGATGCTAACAGGAAAATAGCTACTCACGTGCTCCCACCCACACCTTCCGGGGGTACCTCAGCACTTGGTCCCTCCTTCTCTGGGTTACAAGGGAGGGACCAAGTCCTACAGCAGTGGCAGTTACTGTCCTCCCCATTACCTCGGGTCCCTGAGGGCTCGGCTAACCCATCTCCTCTCAATCACATCCAAGGGTCAGCCAGTGTTCCTATCTCGGCCAAATTTCCACACATCCCCAGGGAAAAGCAAGGACTCAGCCTCTTCAAGGATCAACACCAGCCATCACCACCCTCTGGCACTGATGATGGGTCTCTCTGACACCTCTCTTTTAATTTGGTTCCCATTTAATTTTGTGGAATGAAGCTCCCTACCTAATTATCCTTAGGTCATCGTTTCCCCATTATTGCACGAGCAAACAAAACTCATCTTGAATGCCTCTCTTCTATGGAGGGCTTTCAACATTTCTGTGCACTGTCCCTGTGTTAATCACCTGTGGAGACTGTTGTCACACCCTCTATGGAATTCATCCAGCAGCTGCAGTTCCATACCTGAGCGTCTGGTTCCCATAGCACCCCAGATCTCCAATGCCAAGGTCATCTGCCATCAACAGGACTATGTTTGGCCTCAATGCTGGCTGGCTCTTGGCTTCCCACAGAAGCACTAAGAGGAGGAGACTGACCCGCATCTTCCTGCAGAGGGCAAGGGGACAAAAGAGAGGTGAAGGACATGGCTTCCCCTCCTCCTTCTCTCAGAGCCTGGTTCATCTGGCACACACTTTGGAAGCACATTCTTACGTCCTGCCTCCTCCAGGGAGGATGTGCTTGAAAGGCTCTTGGAACTAAGAAAGCAGCAAGGATAGAAAAGCACAATCATCTATTTCTTGCACATTTGTTTCCAAAACACATGGCTTCCTCTCAGGCGCTAGCCATGACCTCTCTGTCCCAACCTATACCCAAAACGGGCAATCTGCTGGGAAGAATGAAAACACTGTCACTTCCCATCAGCCCTTTGTTGAAAGCCATTTCCTTCTTGAGCTAAGAATTTGTTCTGTGAACCCTGGAAAGGCAGGTCCTTTGTTAGGAATAAATCTGCAATGTCATAATCTTTCTGAAGTGAACCGCGTTTGTGTTTGGTGGATTTTATAAAAGAAATGTGTCCACCTTCAAAACTGAAAGTGCAAGGCTTGGCAGCCCAGGGCAGTGCTGTGTGCTGTGCTGTGTATCACAGGAAGAGATTCACCATCACCTACATGCAGTATCTCAGCTCGCGCTACCTGATGGCATTTCATGCCTTGGAAGCATAAGGGGCTGGAGGAATCTGCAGGTGGACAGTGGCCTGAGGCCCACAGACATTGCTGATGATATTCAACAACAAAGGGGGATCCTCATGCTCAGCACTGCAAGGTTCAGTAGCGCCCTCCAGCCCCTCTCATCACCATGTTGGTGGGTTTAGGTGCCCGTGGGTCAGACTCACGGACCTGTCTCTCTCTCTCTTTGGCAGGTGGGCACTGAGGAAGGCAGAGAAGACTTAGCCACAGCCAGTGGCATCAGGGATGGAGAAAGATAAGAGCTGGCATGGTGGAGTGGGACAGTCATGGGTGGGTCCCGCCAGAGCTGTGGGAATAGGTAGCCACATGGAGAATCACATTCTGCAGTCACTTCATGGAGATCTACAACATGCATGCCTCAGAGAATGGCCCAGTGATGCTGCAGAGCACACTGCAAAGGGCTACTCCCAGGCGTGAGGTTCTCTAGTACCCATGCATACCGGCGCTGGTGAAAACATACTGTGTGCTTAAATTACAATGAAAAGTGATTACACTAAAAGAGACACTGCCATGAATCCCTCTCATAAATCTTTCCCTTTGCTTCCAGCACACTCAGTCCTTTTTTCTGGCACTTTCTGAGAAACAGTTCTGCAAGTCCTCTTTCCTGGAGGTCTTGACCACGAGTGTGGTAAGGAATGGGCAGGTACTGCTGCCACGTGTCAGCAACAGAAAGGTCGGCTCGATAAAAAAATAATAATAATCACAAGAGTTTCCTCGTCATCTGCATTTTCCAATGGCTCTGGCACTATGTGACTTCTGGCTCATGCCCAAAACGACCATGCAAGGTCAGTATTTTGAATAGATTCAGGACATCATGGCAGCCAGGACAGTGGAACTAAAGACACTCAGGAAAGAGGACACCAGAGCTGCTGCAGAAGGTGCCTAGAGTGACAGAAAAGTGTGTGCCAAGCCAGGGGGAGGATCCTGCGGGTCCTCACGACAGGGTGTCTTTTATCCATTTTTAAAATTTAAACATTTCTGATGGTATTACTGAACCTGGTATGTTGGCTTATGGGCCAATTTTTGGAATTATGCAGGTGGGAGTAAAGATATTGAGATAAGGACATTTTCTTCGGTTATCAAGGTGGACCAATGCAATCCCTGAGGTCTTACTAAAGAGACGCAGAGGATGAAGTGTCTCCCTTTACCTTTTCCTCTCTTAGCTTCCCCTCATCTTCCCCTTCTCTTTTTGCTTTTTCTGCTTAAGTAGTGGGGATATAAAAACAAAACAGGGCCCTCCCACACTCTAAGCAAGTTCCTTACCACTGAGCTATATGCCAAGCCCTTTTTCTTTTGAGACACTGTCTCACCAAGTTGCTAAGGCTGGTCACAAACTTGCCGCCCCTTTGCCTCAGCGGTAGAGGAGCTGGGATTACAGGCATGCAAATCACCACGCCCTACATTATCTGCAGATGTCACAACCTGGCATCTCTTTCAGGAGGCTGTTTCTCCAAGAAAGAACCCCTGTGTCACTTGCTGGGAATACAGGCTGTTTTAGCATCAGAGGGAATTCTTGGAATCCCACTGGATCTCGGTCAAGGGCGACCTTTCAAATTCCTTGTGATGGTTCTCTTGAGTGACACTGTCATTTTCTAGAGCTCTGCAGTGGGCCTCTGCTCCTGTGGTTTCCTAAAAGAAACAGCGGCAGAGAAAAGGCTGCCCATCCAAGCCAGCCCACGGCCACCATCCATTCTGTTTCTCGGGCAGAACTTTTGGTTTTTATGTATGCTTTCTCGGTTTCCACATTAATTATTTATCAACTCTCCATGCCAAGGCCGTAGGCAATGTTCTTCTGTAGCTCTCCTCTATGAACCTGTGAGTAGATGTTTACTAAAATTGTTTAATTGAGCCTCTGTGAAGGAGTCCCTACATACCAATTAGACAGCCAGGGTAATGAGTTCCATTTCGGGTCTCTGGAGTGCATGTAAGCAAGATTTCTTAACTTCTGCACTGCTGTCTTTTGGGATGGATGGTCCATTCTAGGAGTAGTTGTCCTGGGCACTCCAGGAAGCTGAGAGGCATCACTGGCCTCCTTATACTAGAGGTCAGCAGTGTGCCTCCACTGGACCATGATAGCCAAAGGTGCCTCTGGACCCTACGAGCCATCCTCAAAGCCTAGAAGAGCAAAACTTGCACTCTACTGAGTATAATCCCACCACAGCAAAACAAGAAGCTTCCCCTAGTGACCAAATGCTTGAATCCAAGAAAGCGCTCTCCGCCAACTACTTTCCTCTGAGTTCCAAGAGTAGCATCTTTTCTTGGGCCATGCTATCAGCTTGGGTTATCCAATCATCAGATCCAAGTTGCTCAACCCTGACTCTCTGAATGGGAATGAGAAGACTGAGCTTTTTTCTTTAGAAATCAGGGCATCACTATGAAATACCTAAATGATGAAACATTATAGAAGTGAAATAAAAACTATTCAATCTTTTCAAAAGCAAAATGGTCAAAGCAAGATACTCTATAATTACAAGTATGGAACTATTGCTTTCACATATACTTGCAGAATCATAGAGAAACGCACCTCCCTCTCCCATCTCTTAGGCAGTGTCTCATCTTATTTGACCTGGCTGACACTTTAAAAAAAAAATCTTTTCTTATTTTATGAAAGAAAAAGTAAAACAAAACTTCATAACAAATGATAGTAACAATAGTTAATACATTGAGTATTGTCATCTTCTTTAAATTTTGTTTTAACAAGGGTGGAAACTTGTTTGATTGTTTGATCATTTTTTTCATGCCTAAATCTTGTCATCTGAATAACTACTTCTAAGATAATAATATGCAAAATATTAACCAGTGCTAATTTCCTATTTTTTTTCTTTTTGGTTGGCATTTTTATTGTTAGATCCTCAAACTTTGTAAAGCAATTAAGAGTGGAGGTTAGTTTGCTTTGAGTCACTTTATATAAACAACTTAAAGGAAGAAAAGTTTTTTTTTTCATCTCAGGATTTAAAGAAGTCTGTTTTTTGGTTTTTTGATACCAGAAATCAAACTCACAACCTTGTGCTTAGCAGACAAGCACTGGAGCCCCTGAGCTAAGCTTAAAGAAGCTTCTGTCCATGGTTATGAAGCTGCACTGATTCAGGGTTTCTGATGAGGCAGAAATATCACAGCAGACCGGCAGGGTGGGGCAAAGATGCTCACCTCATGGAGGCCAGGAAATGGAGTGATTTATAGAGGAAGGACCCAGGAATGAGATATAGTTCCCCAAATTATGTCCCTATGACCCGATTCCTCCTACTATGCCTTGGGAGATTACAAATGAATCAGTGGATCCATCTTTTTATGAAATAAGAGCCATTAGGGTCCAGTCATTTTCTGAGAGACTCAACTGCTGTACACATGAGACTGCAGGATGTTTGAGACCTAAACCACAACAGTGTACAGTTTCTTAATATATAAACGAAGGAAAGAGTTGGCTTGCTAGTTGCTCTCAGTGATTCACTTTAAGGAAAAATTGTTCATGGCGTGGAGTCTGGACACCAAGGATATGTATGTGTGTCACATTCACTTTCAAGGACAGAGGGGACTGTTTGCACTTGATAAATAGTGATGGTCTTAGATGACTCATCGTGATTAACCACTGCTATTCTCATGAAGTTCTGCTACATGACACCCTTGTGTTTTATTGATAGTTTAATACATTCAATTCACATAAACCATACACAAAGCCTGGGAGCAAAGGATTTAGTCACTGTTCTCTTGCTAGAAAGAGGACAGAAATAAAACTCCCTCTTCAAATTGTTATTATGCAACTAAAGACCTCCAACGGCTGCCTGCTGACCCCTGAGAATGCGCAAATGGATAAAGGATCGCAGGCTTCACAGGTGACGGTGGTCACTTCCTTTCACGTCTGCAATGTAAAGCCTCTTAGCAAAGCACCTTCGATACAGGCTATGAATACCAACTCTGGCAGCGGTGCTCAGAGTCACCTAAATCTGAACTCTTTTTACACATGCTTGTTTTACAAGGAGCAAGCAATGGCCCACGATGTGAATGGGCTTTTAAAAGACCGTACTGGGTAGATGACCAGGCTACCAAATGTTCCTATCCCTGAAAACACCACCGCTTCCCTAGAGGAGCCGATCTGGGACAATTCTCCATTGTAACTGCCTCTCTGAACTCATCTTTTGGATAGTGCTCTGGGCTCCACCTTCAGATCTGCTGGAGAAAGGTTCCCATTATGCAGGCACATGTTTGTCCGAACAACATACACCTCTGCTTAAATGGTGGATGGGTGTAAACAAAGATATGGAAGCTCCCCTTTCTTCACCTATCCTGTACCTTTCTGATCTCCAATGATACCAGCAGGTTCACAGCTGGGTTTTTATGTGCATGTGTGTTTAACTTTGCATGGTC